ATCCAGGGTGATCTAGTAATAAAGTAAATCTAAAATTCAAATGGAGAGGAAAAAAACCCAATGACAAAGACACTGAGGCAGCACATGTTAGAAGTCCCCGCGCGGAGCTGGCTGAATGAGCAGTAAAGAACATGAAGGGTGGGATTTGTTGATTACGGTAAAGAAGGGCACCAGTGCACAGGCTGCAGTATTAGTCGATGGTAAAAGTTCACGACTGTGAGAGAGTGACACAAAGTAATAAGAAAAATAATTTCAATGAACTTAATTCTTCCAAAAAAACTTCCTCATGTGGCATCATAGAAGCTTTATTTTTATCTTTTTCTTTTTGGTAGCTGCATGTGGGTATAATACAAGATGACCTAAAAGCAAATATGTGCCAAAATGCTGGAAATATTTCCTTGTGCAGGCGTGGAGGAACTAAGCAATCAAGTACCAGAGGAAACGTACAGTGCTGTCATCAAGCAGCAATGCACAAATTAGGTGGATGGCAGTTTGTTAGTACTTTGCACTGCGTGAAACACCTGGCTTCGCTTTAGCCTCAGTCAAAGCACCGGATCGTCTAGTGTTTCAGGACACTAGGATACCATCCATCCATTTTCTAACCACGTCTTCCAATTCAGTGTTGCAGGGGAGCCAGAGCCTATCCCTGCAAGCAACGGGAACAGGTCAGGGTACAGATACAGGCACACACTCACGCCAGGGCCAGTTTTCCCAGAAGACAATTAGCCTACCAGTATGTCTTACATAAACAGTGGGAGAGCATACAAACTCCACATAGATAGCATCCCAGCAATTGAGCCCAGAGGGGCCGCAGTGGTACAAGGGCTCAGATACCCCCTCCCCCAGAAAAAACAGATTTTTAGCTTTATGAAAAAAATTGGTACCCATGGAGCTCCTTCTGGTTTTTCTTTAGAGGAGGAGAGCAACATGGCTGTGCGCGACCGAGCTTTGCTCTGCTACCGCCTGCTGCGCTGCGGGGTGGAAGAGACCAGGCGGGTTCTGGAGGGCCCTAAGTCCGACCCCTGCCTGGGCGTGATCACCGGTCGGCCTGAGGAGCCCATCAACAGCTGGGCTTCCGACTTTAACTCCCTAGTGCCGGTTTATGGGCAAGAGCGCTGGGCAGCCCAGGCCACCACCAGGGGGAGCCCTGAGCCTCCTTCCCGTGGTACTGCAGAACCAGCTGAATCAGGTAGGTTGAGTCTTTGAGAGTTCAAGCGCCTGAAGTAACTGGTCTGTGTGTTTATATGC